CCTGCGATATAAATGAAGGAAAGGGGGAAAACAAGGGAAAACCAGAAGGTGAAATAGAGCCTGAAGATGAAGAAAAGTCAGACAAGGAAGAAGAGCCTGATGCAGAGGGAAAGCCAGAGGAGGAAGGAGAGCCAGACGACCAGGGTCAACCAGGAGAGGAGGGAAGGCCAGGGAGGCAGGGCCAGTCTGAGGAGGGGCGCAAGGCCCATGGTGAGGGCAAGCCCGACTCCCAGGCCAGGCCTGAGAGCGAGCCACGGGCTGCCGAAAAGCGCCCAGCTGAAGATTATGTTCCCCGGAAAGCCAAAAGGAAGACTGACAGGGGGACGGATGATTCCCCCAAGGACTCAGAGGAGGACTTACAGGAGAGGCATTTGAGCAGTGAGGAGGTGATGAGAGAATGCGGAGATGTGTCCAGGGCTCAGGAAGAGCTGAGGAAAAAACAGAAAATGGGTGGTTTCCATTGGATGCAAAGAGATGTGCAGGACCCATTCACCCCCAGGGGGCAGCGGGGTGTCAGGGGAGTGAGGGGTGGAGGTAGAGGCCAAAGGGGCTTACACGATATCCCATACCTCTAAGGCCTTTGGCTTTTGACTCTGACTTCTCTGATGGGAATATTGCCAGCCCTGCTTTCCCTGGTAGATACTGGCCAGGTCCTGTGCTTTAACCTTAAGCTGAAATGTTGCTTTAGGTGTCACTCTCGTTACCAGCAGCCTTTTGATCCAACCGCAGCGCTCTGTCTTTTAGTAGGGGATTTTCACCCATGTGCATGGAAGAGATGTACATTGTAAAATAATAAAAGTTGGCAGAACTGCACATACAGTATCAGCCCATTTTTATAAAGATGTAAATGTTTGCATGGTGCATTTGGACACAGAGAAATCTCTGAAAGTGTGTACACTGAAAAGTAGACAATGGTAGGGCCAGCAGGTGACATGGTGGTTAAGGTGCTGAATCTCACATGGCTGACCACGGTTCAAGTCCCAGACCTGGCTGCTTGAAAATCACACCTGGTACATGCGTGTGTGTGCCTCAAATCCTGAGAGACCAGGAGAAGGGATTACAAGCATGGCCATCTCTACTGGAGAGTGATTTCTCTGTTTCCCTCTCTCTGTCTCTCTCTAGCTAGTTTAAGTGTCCTATAGCAAAAAAACTTAAAATAAATAAATGAAGGAAAGAAAAGTAGACAATGGTTATTCTCACATAGTTGTCATATCTTTCAAGTGTAAGTTTTCTCTATAAAGTCTCCTGGCCGACTTTCTGTACAAAATCAAGAGATTTATCTACACATAGTCACAGAGGGTTACACAACTGAGTTTCAGGCTGAGAAAAATCCCTTTCCACTCCAAAGTAACTCCACTTGAAAAGGTAATAGTGTTCCTAAATTAAAAAATCAATGTTAGGCATTTTTATTTAACCCACTTGTATGTTTCCTTCTCAAATCTTTATATCCCTTTTATTGTACTTGACACATATACATAGCAATTACTTAATTACAAGCTCTGAGTTTTTGTCCCAGTGTATCCTTAGGCAAGTAATTTCAACTTGTGAAAAATATATCTTGAAAAGTTCCTAAAGAGGGGCCAGCAGTTAGCGTAATGGCTATGTTGCTGGACTCCCACGTAGTCGACCGCAGTTCAAGTCCTGGACCCGGTGGCTTAAACTCACGCCGGGTGCATATGCATACATCCCCAAGATCCCAAGAGGAGAATGGAGGAGAAGGGATTGTTGCAGAGTGGCCATCCCCCCTGGGGGGTGATTTCTCGCTTTCTGTCTCTGTCTCTGTCTGGCGAGCGCATGCGCCCTATAGCAAAAACCTCTCCCCCCCAAAAAAAGAAAAGTTCCTATAGAGAAGTGATAGTTCCTAAATTCAGCTCATGTACCCATTTATAACCATCCGTTTAGAAGTTTGGTTATCTCAATTACTTTTAGAATTAGGAACTTACTCATTCAACCTAAGAAAAGGTTTATGGTCCAGAACCCAGGAGAGAAATAACTCCCTGCTAATCAGTTTTCCTAGTCTTATTTGCCCATGGGAGTTACTCTGAGAGGTCAGGCTCGTTCTGTCTGCACTGTTTAGTTACTAGCTTACAAAAGGTATCTGGGGGCTGGCAGGTGGCATGGTGGTTAAGGATGTCGGACTCCCACAGACCAACCACAGTTCAAGTCCTGGACCTGGCAGCTTGCTTTCTCACTTTCCCTTTCTCTCTCTCTCTGTCTTGCTCTCTCTTTGATCAAGTTAAAAATAAATAAATAAAATAATTTTTTAAAGAATTATTTTATTTAACTTTATTTATTCATTCATTTATTTTAATTGGACCAGAGAAGGACAGATAAGGTATCTGAATGATCTTAAGAAACAGGAGCAGGGAACCAGCAGTTAACGTAATGGCTATGTCGCTGGACTCCCACGTAGTCGACCACGGTTCATGTCCCGGACCCAGTGGCTTAGAACTCATGCCGGGCGCGTGTGCGTGCGTGCCCAAGATCCCGAGAGGAGAATGGAGGAGAAGGGATTGTGGTGTGGCCATCCCCTCTGGGGGGTGATTTCTCGCTTTCTGTCTCTATGTCTCTGTCTGTCTGGCGAGCGTGCGCACCCTATAGCAAACACCTCTCCAAAAAAAAGAAAAAGAAAAGAAAAAAAGAAACAGGAGCACAAGGCTCCTTTATGGTAGATGATCTAACCAAGTTTCTATTTGTTTTTACCCATTGGGAAGGTCATATTCCCCTCTAAACAACCCATATCTATTTATTCAGATGAGTTGCATCCACTGGGGGCAGCCAACAGAGTAAACTTGATAATAGAAAAAATTATCATCTCTGCAGGTGTCATTCAGCCTCCCCTACACCTGCTGATATCCCAATGTTTGCTCTATGGTCCCATGTACAAAGTGGCCTAGGAAAAAGGAAAAGAGTCAGTCAAGAGCTCTTATTGACTTCTCTTACCAACTCGATCGATCTGACTATTGTCAACATCTGAGTACAGAAACTGCCAACAGCAGAGGTCAACGCTGAATCCCCATGTGGTACCATTTCCATAGGGAAGGTTAGTTACACTAGACCTCTTCCACCACAGAGATGCAGCAGTTTGTCCTTAACTAGAAATAACCACATTTTTAAAATATTAGTTTTATTGAGATATAATTCACATAAATTTACTCTTTTAATACAGTTCAGTGGTATTTAAAGTATTTAGAGATATGTGTCTATTACTATTATATAGTTTCAGAACATCTTCATCACTTAAAAAAGAAACTCAAACATGGTCCGAGTCCTGGACCTGGTGGCTTGCTTTCTTACTTTCTTTCTCTCTCTCCCCTTCTCTCTGGTCAAATTAAAATAAATAAAGTTAAATAAAAAAAATAATCCTTTGGGGCAGGCAGGTGGTATGGTGGTTAAAGATACTGGATTACCACTAGCTAATCATGGTTCAAGTCCCAGACCTGGCGGCTTGCTTTCTCTCTCTCTATCTGTCTGGTCAAATTTAAAAAAATAATAACAAATGGAATTAAATAAATAAATAATTCTTTAAAAAATAATTATTCAAAAAAAACACCCTATATACATTATCTGACACTTCCCCTCCCCTACTCCCCATCCTCATCCCCAGTTTTTGCCAACCACTAATCTACTGTCATGAAAATTTCATATAAATGGAATCATACAAGATGTGGCCTGTTGTGACTAGCTTCTTTCATTTAGTATATTGTTTTGAAGGTTCATCCATATTATAGCACATATTGTTGGCTAAAACCTGGCAGCTGTTTCTGTGATTAATCAAGAGGCAAAGCAAAGAGGGAGAAATGGAGTTTAGCTGTGTTCAAGCACAGGGAGTGGCCAAGAACTGACAAGCTCACAACCAACCCCCAGAACAGAAATTTCCAGAACATTACTTTTCTCATTTATTCATTGTTGTCTATTACAGAACATAAGTTTAGCTAGTTCAATGTTACTTTTATCCTCATGATTTTCCCAAAATTGTTCTGTGCACCTTTTCTTTTCACTTGACGTTATTTATGATGCTGTTTTTTGTTCTTATGGCAACACTGAATCTGTTGGCTCAGACTCATGATATATATTGCTAGATTAAGGGAAGCTGCAGCATATTTTTTAACCTATGCTGTTTAACAAAACAATCTAGTGGGTAACTATTGGGTTGTTGAAAAAGTCATGAGTATTTTTCTATGCAAAAACGTGTAATGATGTTTCCAACGACCTTAAATATTATGGTAAATAATAAGATTATTACAATTTTCCCAACTTAACCAGTTACATTATATCAGTTGAGCAAACATTCCCATCTCCTAAGATTTCTTGCCTAGGACCTTGGTCCCTGTCCAGTTGCATTCTTGTGACTATTGTCTAAAACAAGTGACTTAAGTTTCCTCTTCTATGCAAACAGGCTTATTTATTATCTTATTTGTTACAATAGTTTCAGAATGCATTACAAAGGCTACAAACACCAGTTCACCCTTTTAAAGTATAAGAAAGAGGAATAAAGTAAAAAAAAGAAAATACAGGGTTAAGAAATTGTTGGGTAGGGCTAGCATATAGGGTGGTGGTTGAGGTGCTGGATTCCCACACGGCTGACCATGGTTGGAGTCCCAGACCTGACAATTTGCTTTCTCACTTTCTCTCTCTCTTTCTGTCTGTCTCTATCGTGAGAACATGTGCCCTCTAGCAACTAAAAAATTAAAAAATTAAATTAAAATAAGTCTTTAAAAAATTATGTTTTGGGGGACTGGCAGGTGGCGTGGTGGTTTAAGGCACTGGATTCTCACCT